CTTACCTTTAAGTGTAAATCGTTATCTGGGCAGTTGGGACACGTATTAATATTTTTTGAGTTTGTCTAACCTACCGTCCAAGTAATGTCTAACCTGTACCCAGAAAAATTAATATATACCTGTCCCAACCGCCCAGGTAACGAACTTTCTTGATGGTTTCCTTTTTAAATGCTGCCTTGCACCTAGACCTTCACTTTCTTTGTAACTTGCAGATTGGTTTCCTTTCAGATGATACCTTGCACCTAGGCCTTCACTTTCTCCGTAACTTGCAGGGCATTGACTATTATAACAATCGACGGTAGAATTTTGGATACAAATGTATACATACTTTCCCCGCCTACATCGCTTGAACTTTCTGGCATTAAATTTTCTCTTTGACCTACAAATAATATGGAGGCAGGTTAGCTTTCGATATCGAGAAGCATATTGAGGATGATGGTTTCTTGGGAGTCGCTGGATATTGGTGTTTGGAAATTTGAAATGCGTCGACTGAATTGATTTGGGGTGTAGATATTGCCTGGCAGGTGTACTCAACGTAAAAAATGAAGAAGCGTGAATAGTTTAGTCTGGTGGATTTGTTCAGTAACTGAGTTACAAATTCTAGCGTCAATATATATATTTTTAATTGCATAATTAGATTTATTAATAAATAAATATTATCTTATAAATCACATTTACGACTTAAGTTTTGAGATTAATACTTAAAAAAATTAATTTCTAAATACACTAAACCAATGTGGGATGCATTATTAAAATTGTAATTAAGATATTAATTTTGAAGTATATAAAAACTAATATGAGAATACTTTAACCATAAATAATAAAGAATATTATTACTATTATTATAATTATAATTATTATTATTGTTGTTGTAAGATGTTTACTTGGTGCAATGTGGATTTAGAGGTCTATATATTGAGGCAGATATAAGTTGAAAAAATGGAAGAATAGGATTAGAGAAAATGGCAAGCTCACCTAAATCAAATCAGAATGCCCACCTTTTGAAGCACATGACCACAAAATAAGTCTCTAGTTAAGTCAATCACTAAAGCATCCCTAAACTTTTGTCCCTTAACCATTTAATTTAGTACAAAAGTGGTTCTTTCAGTTAAAAATTCGGTTAACTCTTAAGGTGGCAAATCTTTTTTTTATAAGTTTGGTCCCTCAACTTGCATCAAATTGACACTTTAGTCCTAACACTTTTTTTCAATTTGATCCAACATTTCGGTTTTTCTTCCTTATTTAGTCCCTCAACTTTTAAAACTTTTTTAATTCAATTCTTAAAATTTTGATTTCTTACGATTGAGTTAAGTCATATAAAATCAAATTAAAAATGGTTAAATACCAATTTGGTCTCTCAACTTTAGGGTTTTACATAGTTTTCATCTATTGATTTTTTAATACACTTTTTTGATTCCTTAATTATAAAAACATGCATTTTTTTAATTTTTTTCATTAGTTAGTTTGTTAAGATTCAAATATACACATTTTTAGTCCCTTAACTTAAAAAATTGAGGGATGAAAAATATTCATTTATTATAAGTTAAGGGATTAAAAATGTATATATTTGGATAGACTTAATAAACTAACTTTTCAAATGACTAAAAAAGTATATTTTTCATGGTTAAGGGACAAAAAATTTATAAAAAAGTAGAGGAATGAAAAGTGCAAAAAACCCTAAACTTAGGGGAGCAAAATTGACATTTGACCTAAAAAACTTCATAGTATACATTAACCCACTCAAATACCATTAAAATCAAGGCTAAAAAACACCATACTTTACATTAGGATTCAATAAATCAATACATTAGTAGACTTTAAATTCGATATTACCCATTTAAAGAATAAAAGTGTTCTTCCCAATTGCCCTAATGATCTATTTAATGCTTTCAAAAAACTAAATATATTAGCTTCTTTTTTTGGATAAATATATTAACTTCAAGCAACGCAAACTTGTTAGACTCGAAGAAATCATTCAAATTATACAATGGTTGTTCCACAGTTGAGTCTAGCATAAACTTACCCTTTCTTGACAAAAATTCAAATGACCTATCAATTGATCCTTATCTTTACCGTCATCCAACTGCAAGACTAAAACAAAATTCAGCTTCTCAAGATGGACTTATCAATTCAAATTTTAACTAGAATCAACAAAAATATGTAGAGAAGGCAACTAGTTAATTAAATTACTAGGAAATGAACTCACGATACATGATTTAAACTTAAGTTTAATTACATTATGAAACAAAAAAACTCTAGCAACTCCTTCAATTGATTTTTATAGCTTAATTAGTTTATGCACTTCAAAATATACATAACTATCAAGTTGCTAAATAGAATAGCAAAGCACCAAACTCATTACCTTATTAGTTATGCTATAAAGGAAGCTTATCTAATGTAAATACTGAAACACAAGCTTCTACCCTACCATCCCACTTAATTTTCATTTCCAAGTAAACTTATTGACTAAATCTCTATATCATTGCATGAAGAAGAACTACTAGAAGACTCTTGGAGGTTGGTTTTCTTAGTAACTTCATCTTGTTGAATAGCATGGGGATAAAACTGGAAAGGAGTGGGAGGTATTTGTAAGCTCTCAAGTTCTGCTTTCAAGCATCTCTATCACTTTGTTCATCAAAGGGCGATCACTTGGCTTCATTTGTATGCACCACAAAGCTACAATGACCATTTTCTTTGCAATTCTCTTTTGATGTTCTGTAGCTTCTTGTATTTCCAACTCCATTCCTCTATTCAATTGCTTAGATGCCCATGAAGGAAAGTAGATTTGACTTGAATGCTCTGCAAATGGGTTCACATTCTTTCTTCTACTAGCCATTTCCATCAATAACATCCCATAACTGTAAACATCAACTTTGTAAGAGACACTTCCTATGTTTCTATAAAACAATTCAGGAGCCATATATCCTAATGTTCCTCTTGCTGCAGTCAAGGACACAGTGTTACCTTCTACAGGACATAACTTCACGAGACCAAAATCAAAGATTTTTGGAGTGAAGTTCTCATCTAAAAGAATGTTGTGAGGCTTGATATCAAAATGCAAAATTTGCATATCACAACCTCGATGTAAATACTCAATCTCACGAGCCACTCCTAGAGAAATGTTATATAGATTTTCCCAACCCAAAGTTAAAATATTGCCTTCTCTTGAGAAAATGTGTGTATCAAGAGAACCATTAGGCATGAATTCACACACAAGGGCACGTTTCGATCCTTCAACACAAAAACCAATCAATTGTACCACATTGACATGGTGAATTCTTCCAATGGTAGCAACTTCATTGAAAAAATCTTGCCCAGTAGCTTTTGATTTGCCTAACATCTTTATTGCTGCAAGGCGACCACTCTTAAGCTTTGCTTTGTAAACTTGACCAAAACCTCCTTCTCCCAATTTCTCCTTAAAACCATCGGTCATCTTCTTGATTTTTGAATAAGAATACCTTACAGGCATGAGATTATTGTTGCTTTGCAAGAATTCGTCAATAGAATTATACATGGATAAATGTCTTTTCCTCCATTTGAAGACCAAAAATATGATAAAAAGTGGAATTCCTAGAACAGCTCCCAGTCCATGCACTATCCCAACAATTGCTGCAAACAAAAAGAAAAAAAGGAGCATTATTATTATTATTATTTTACCATACCATAATATTGATTTATATATTATGTTTCTTGCATAAAAAAAATATTGTGTTTCTTTTTTTAAATAATTTAGGTAAACAATATATATTTCAGGATTTGTCCACCTTATGACCTTATTATGACTTTTTTCCTTGAAAAAGGTAAAATTTTATATTAAAAAATAACTCTTGATTTATAATTTAAAATTAATGAATAAAAATCTAACCTATAGCATTTACAATTAAAATAAAAGTTAACTTCTATTATAAATCAATTCATTGTGGATGTTTCACCTTCTTGATCCTCTCACCTCCCCACTTTCCATGGTATTCACACCAAGTAATGATGTAACTTCCACTACTTCCATGCAATAACAATGATGATTAACACCCTAATAATGTCATGCATTTAGATGGTGATAATGGGATTCTTTGTAACCCCTCCATTAGTAGGAAATTAATCCTTGTAACCGACTATTTAGTTAGTGTTTATTCCTTGTAACTCCTATCAACTATTGACGTCTATATATAAGGTTTGTACTCTTACAAATGTATAGAGAAGAAATGGAGAAGAATGAAAATATAATATATCTTTGTATTGCCTCACTTTGTCTTTCTAATTTTTCTTCTTCTTCTAATTAATTCTTTCATTATTTTAAAACATGTTTATCTGCACAACTTGTCTCTATATGAATTACTAATCATGAATCCTATTTGAGGTGATGAACAACTTGAGGTAAAGATATAAGTCAAGGTCAAGTTTTGAGGTAAGATTTTGAGGCAAAATTATCTTTCAATTTCTTGTTTTCTAATTTGAATGTTCTATGATGTTATAACAGTTTTCTTGTTTATATGTTATTTTGCACTTGTCAAAAGACTTGATTTCATTGTCTTCGATAAATTAGGCTTTAACCATTTGTCATGAACTCTCAATGTGAAAATTTATTTACCTCCAATGAATCTTGAAGATTCAATTATGGAAGGGAATAAAGTATCTCTTAAAGAAAGAAAATATTCTTGAAGAAAATAAAGAGTATCCTTGAAGGATTGCAATGAAATGATATTTCTTCATTATGAAGTCCAAAAAGGACTAAGAGATTAATATTTGATGATGAATGATCCATTGGAATCATGGAATTGTTTGGAAGAAAGATGATTATTAAAAGAAAATTGCAAACTCTTCCTAAAAGCTGGCTATGAATGGATCCATTTATTACTTGAGTATGAATCTGTAAATATTTTGACTTACCTCATGTGGAAAAAATTATTATTGATGAAAACATATTAGAAAATATACATTCTTCTTTTCATGCCTCGAATATGCTCCAAAAGTAGCAATCTCGAGAGTGTAATTTTAACATGCATATTCAAAGTAAATATATGTCTTATTGTTGCCAACAAAATTATGAATTGATGAAAAATCATTGATCACAACCATTCATTTGATTCCATTCTTTAAAGAGAATGTGACATCATATTATGATCATGGTTATGAATAAGGTTGTAAAATGAGACTATGCAAAAATGAAAAGATTTGCAAAATAAGTTGGCAAAGAATTTGAGAAGTCTTAGATATGACATGAATGAATATTGGTCACATATTTTTAGTATAATCAAGCAATTCATGTGCTTATCTTTATCTCCAAGTATTTGATTGATTTGTTTCAAACTTTACTTAGTGAAAAGGAAAACGGTGCAAAAACACATTTTTGTGAAAAACAATAACACGGATCTGCACTTGTGATATTTGTGATACACAATTTTATTTTAAACTTGGATATATTTTATCTATTTTAAGAATATTGGGGAAAAGTATTTCAAACATTTGAGAAATTAAATAAATGTCCCAATGTGAAGATTGTGAATTAAAAGGAGAATTGTTTGAGGTTAAATCTCCTAAATAAGATATCATTTTCAATGACAAGCTGAGATACAAGAACACATCTATGAATGGATATGAATTTTATAATATTACTCATGGGAAATTTATAGATTCATATTAATCTTATCTAATATCTCTCAATATGGAGGTTACATATTGATGGAGAAATACTTTGAAAAAGGGGATCCTCATTACGATGATGAAATCAAGGATGAAAAGTTGAACTTGTATAAAGCCTTGCTATCACACAATGAAGGCTTAATGGTGCCTTTGTGATAAATAAAATGTGGCATACATGGACTCCTATTCTACAAAATGTATAATAGTGGAATAGAACTTGAAAAATTGTATATCATTTTCGATGTGCAAAAGGTTATGCCATGATGAAATATCCTCGAAAAAGACTTTTCCCAGTTACACTTATTCTGAAGCTAATGTGATATTTTGTGTCACAAGCTTGATGAAAAATCCAAAAAGCTTGGACATTTTTACTATTAAAAGCTCTTGAAGAGCTTGAATATTGTTTACTATTAAAAGATCTTAAAAGGCTTGAATATTTTAGCTTGGAGAACAAAATTTTTAAATATGTGACTAGTTGTATCCTAGTAGATTATATTTGAATCTATTAAACTTTCAAGACACAAACATATAATGGTTATCATATTGAAACCATGAATAAGAATAGTACAAAATGACCCCTATGTCACATCTCTCCTATGGCCAAAAGCCATATTTTTAAGAAGCTTTTTCTTTTGAATTACATGCATAAATCTAATAGGATTAAATATTGGGGCTAACTAGAAAGTTGATCCTAAAATGATTTGGACCTAAGTAACTTGGCCATCAAGTGATTTTTCATGTGTTGCATCCTCTTAAAACATGATTACCAAACCTTTTACAAATACAATTAAAATATAATCTCCTTCCTTGTTATATTGAATTCAAGGAGACATATAAGTCTGGACTCAACTATTTGAAATATATTTTGATATATTATGGTGTCAATTTATGCTTGAATATGAAGGTGAAAAAATAGTCCTTTAAGCAATATAAAACATTGCGTTGAGAGCATATCTGGCTTGATAATCCCAAAGAAGGCTGGGAGTTTATATAAGTTGATTGTGGATTGATAAGCTAAATTCATATAAATATTAATGTGGAATTTTGTCTTTGATATTATTGATATTCGGATGAGATTTTACTTGATTTTACATAACTTTCATTCTTTGTGTAGGAAAAGATTTAATTAGAAGAAATCATAATTTTTAGGAGTAAATTGCAAAAATAAAAAAATGAGGATTAAATTATGCAAAATCCAAAAGTTAGGGACCAGGACTATCATTTTACCATTTAAGAAAAATTGCTGAGAAGACCAAAATCTCAGCACGGATCTTCAACGAGCTACAGTGAAGGTGTTCACACCTTCTCTAGGGTGTCAATAGGTCTTTATTATTTCGAATGTGGGTCTCACTTCTACGCCAATTAGGGTTTCTAAAATCTTATAAATACCCATCTAAATCTAGAATTGAGAGAACTTGGGAGGCTGTGGCTACCCTCTTTTGGGTATTCTTACAGATCAAAATAGAAAATCCATCAACAATAGAAAATCAAGAATTTCAACTTCCTCAAATTGGGTTTTGTTTTTCCTTATATTTTTTTCATTTTTTGTTTGATATTCAAATGTTCATAACTATAATTTCATATTTTATTATTTTTATTATGAACTAATTTATTTTACTAAGGTAACGATATAGTCTAATCAATTTAGTATAGATTTTTGATTTTTATACTTTTAATTAGAGTTATTTGCTTGATGAGTTTATATTATTGAACTTAATGCATTGAAAGCTTGATCATCTTTCAATTGACTTAGTGATTTATGCATGAACTTGAGAAAGAATTGTGTAAATTAGACTACTGATAATATAAATCGTGTGTTACACTATGAGATCGAGATGTAATTAGCATCACATGTAATATAGTGGAGGAAGAGAAGAAAGTTAGGAGCTCTCCTTTCTTAAGTTAGAGGTTTCTATAGAATTTAATACTCATTAGTTTGTTTTAAATTATATAGAGATATGACTAATTTAACAAACAAGTGAAGGATTAACTTGACTTGAGAAAGTTAATTAATTTAGGAGAATCCGCCATCACATGCAACAACACTCAATAAATTGATTTTGGAAGCATATTAATCTAGAATTTATATTAATTGATTATGATGAAATCGATGCCTTACTACCTCATATCTTGATTAGTTTTATTTTAATTATTATTTTCTTTTTATTATTTTTAATTAAAGCTTATTCTTTTTTCGATTATTCAAATAAATTTATATTAATTATTTTTTGTACTTAATTAATCATAATTCTCGTGAGTTTGACACTCTTCTTATCATTATATTACTTAGAGTGATTACTAGTTAGAGTGATTTTAGGGCATCATGGATCTTTTTACAAGAAAATTTGTTGATTGCTAATCTAAAGAAATCATGTTCCTAGCATTAGGGGGAGAAGAATAAATATTGGGAAGGCAAGAGATAACTTAAGCTGTATTTTCGAAGATCTTCAAATAAGTTAATATGAATCAGAATTCCAAAATTTTGTACTATCAATTAATGAATGCATCTATTGATGAAATGAAAGTAATAAATTATATATCTAAGCTTTAAGTACTTCTACTTCTATTGATATTCTTATTTAAAAAGTTGTTAAAATATTAGCAAATGAGTATACGCTAGAAGTATGTTAAAATGAATGGTTCTAAGGATAAAAATCCAAAAATGAAGAAAAAGTATGAGCAAAATGTTAGTACTATTGATATCATAAAACTCTTGAAAATGTCTTGAGGATAGAACCCTATGGGTTCAAGTGATAGACGATGGTGAGATCTTTATAAATTATAGTTCTCCTAAAAAAAGGACGAAACTGAAATGAAATCATTATTGATAAGAAATTTTTGCATATGCAATGATGATGGATATAATCAATGAAAATGAGGATCTTGGATCAAATTCATTGAAAATTGTCGACAAAGAAATGATTGGCTAATATAAAAAGAAATGATTCAATTAGAATTAAAATCACGAGAATTGCATGATATTTTTGAATCAGTATTCCAAATATATAATGAAGTAGTATCTATAAAATTTATTCAAGTGAGAAGCTGACAAATTCTCTTCACAAAATTATCGGCTTTCAGAACTTTGAGTAGTTAAGACACTAGATTGGCATAAATTTCCTTATTATAAATATACATTGAATTTAGGGGGAATATTATATGCACTATACTCTTTTTCCCTTCACCAATGTCTTTTTTTCCTAGTAAGTTTTTCTTTGCAATGTTTTTAATGAGGCACTTTAATAAGCGTATAACAAACGGTGAACATCCAAAGGGAGTGTTATAAATCAATTCATTGTAAATATTTCACCTTTTTCATCCTCTTACCTCTCTACTTTCCATGGCATTTACACATCAAGTAATGGTGTAACTTCCACTATCTCCATACAATTACAATGGTGATTAACACCCTAATAATGCCATGGATTTAGATGTTGATAATGTGATTCCTTATAACCCCTCCATTAGTAAGAGATTAATCTTTGTAACCTCTTATTTACTGCATGTTTATTTCTTGTAACTTTTATCACCTATTGACCTCTATATATAAGGTTCGTACTCTTGCAAATGCATAGAAAAGAAATGGGGAAGAATGAAAATATAATATATCATTGCATTGTCTCACTTTGTCTCTCTAATTTCTCTTCTTCTTCTAATTGATTCTTTCTTTAATTTACAACAACTTCATCTTTTTTAAGATAAAAGTGATAATTATTATACAATTAATACTAAGACACAAAATAGATAAATCTATATTGTTCTATTTCTAGACATTTGAATTTTAGAATGCTTAAATTAAACCTTTAAGACAATTAAAGATGCTTTAGAAAAAGGATTATTGTCAAAAAAGCAAGCATTAGTACTTCAC